TATTAGAAGTAACCAGAGTTACTTCTACTGCAAAGACAAGAAGTCAATCAATAGAAATATCTCTTTTTGGTTTGGATAAAAATTAGTTTCCAAGTGATTATAGACTTTCCAGTAAATATAGTTAACATATATCATTTTTATTTGAAAGAACAACCACTGAATTGTCTTCTGATATAATAAATTAATATATATATATATATATATATATATACGGCTGAATCGATTTGGCCAGTCTTAGTCTTGAAAAATTCGTGCCAATCCAAAGAAAGTCCAAAAGGTGAGAAATTATTTCAAATCCGCGTAGAAACTTTACATTTTTAATTTGAAAATTTTTGTAGAAGCGTTCCTTGAATAAAACAATGGACGGTGGCTAACACGTGAAATGTCAAACGATTTTGACAGATGATGTTCAATTACATTTAATAGGATGTTTTACGTGAATATTATTTAATTATGAATAAATTGTAGTAAATAGTTTGGTTTGCAGTTTTATTTATATATAAAAACGTTAGTAAACGGGCCGCAAGTGTTACTAGAAACTCAAAATATCAACTTTTTTGAAATGTTAATATGAAAATGCACTTTTTGGCATATTTTTCTCAAACACGGTGCTCTGATAGATCTCATTTGTATAATTATATACTCATTAGTATTTATAAAACATTTTCTAGGTTATATTATTTTTTATTCAAAATTTATATATTATATTATATATTATTATATTATATTATATTATATTATATATATATATTATATATTATTATTATATTATATATTATTATATTATATTATATATATTATATTATATTATATTATTATTATATTATTATTATATTATATTATATTATATTATATTATATTATATATTATATATTATATTATTTTTATTCAAAACCTAAATTTGGTACCGATCAAATAGACATTTTGCCGAATTACATTTTCCCAGTTATAATTTCGTAGAATTTATCGAAGAATAGATAGTAATATATAAAGGTCCGGGGTTGAAAAGGTCCACCAGCGATATGTCAAAAACCAGTAAAGTTAAGCATCGTTTAACAAGGAATTGAAAATTAGAGGGAAAAAAATGTATAAGCAGCTATAACTTTGTTGATTCTCATGACTTTGCTATCTGGAGATAAACTGTAATCTTTGAAAATTCATAATAAAAGTATTTTCTTCCGTTGGCAGTTTTTTAGCATTAGTTAAAAGTGTAATTATTTCGTAAAATACCTTTAAAATTAAAATAAGACATTCAACCTGTTTGCCACCTGGCCGTTCCAAGTTAGGGTAAGTGGGGTAAAAAGGTCTAGATAACAATTTTTTGAAAAACAGCAAAAAAAGCACATTTCTACAATGATGAAGTAGCCTGCAGTTTTACTGAACGTAGTCAGATAATTGTTCGTTTGAAATGTGTTATTTGTGATATGATTGGTTTGCTTTTCATAATATAGTTTATATATGCTCAAAGTCAAATTGGACCTTTGTGCCTCGCCCTGCTCTACTTTATACTTTTTATTAAATTTACTTCAATTTATCGAATGTTACTTGAAACTTTTCAAAAAGCAGGTTATAAAAGAAATACCTAATTCATTTTCTCTCTCCTCGCAGAAATTTGAAAATTTTGTATAAGCTCAGTAGTATTATTTACAATTATACACAAAATCCTGAATCAAAAAAGAATCTGAAAAACTTGAAACGTAATCATTATGTCGAAAGACCAAAAATGACTTGGATTGGATTATACCATGTTTTCTAAGAAAGTGTATAAAACTTCCAGTTTGATTATATTGATAAAATATAGACAAACTAATGGAGTTTATACAATTCAAACAACACATCCTTATACACTTAAAGTATTAATATTTTTGATTCTCCAGAAATTGTTTAGAATATACCTTACTTAGCAAAACTACGTTTGCCGGGTCAGCTAGTATATATATATATATATATATATATATATATATTATCAATATTAGAAGGGACATCTATTGCTTCATCCATCTATTGCTTTTTAAATATTCAGGAGCCATATCATCATAACGATTATTAAACTTTTAATTCTGATTGCTGTTCAAAAGCAATTACTAAAAGACAATTAAAAAAGTGTGTTTATTTTTTTTCAAAATTTAGATATCATATTAATGTATACTTAAGGATATATTTAGATGGTTTAAATTGAAAAATCCAAACAAAGGGTTTGGCCATTTTTTGACAAGTTTTATCCAATGATCAATACTTTTATTTAAAGACTCCTTTGCGTTTTGTATAAATTGTCTTCGTTTTTATAAAATTACATGGCGAGTAAATGGCATGAGAATATATTTTAAATACTATATTATATTTTTACGATATTTTATATGATAGTTACAAAAAATTGATTTAAGATCACGTATGTTATTAGAATAACCCATGCTTTAAGTACTTTTGATGAGTTGTTATAAAAGTTTTTTCTCAAATGATATATGCGACCATACACCCCATGTTTAAAAATGTCAATCTTGTGGTATGGAAATCAATAACTTAAAAATAAATCAATATATATATATATATATATATATATATACATATATATATATATACTTTTATCGACGCAAGAGATTTGATTTTATTTGAAGTCACATATATTCAATTCAATTCGTTAAAATTTATTAGCTAATTTCATAAATTTTTAATTGTTCTTCTTAATTGTGGTGATTAATTAATTAATCATAAAACCTGTTAGTTTTTTTAAATTATATTTACATTTTTATATTAGCTTCTGAATTTATGAGTTGTTTATTTTCAATGAAAAATAATTAAAATTAAGTGAGAATTGACAAAAATTATTACTATTGATAATATACTGATTAACAAATTTACATTTACAACAAATTATTAAAATTACATTATATAAAGAAAAAATCAGTAAATGTTGCGGAAACCTTTGATAAATGTAAAGGCGAGGTATGCGTGATTTTTCGCACGCCCTCCCTGATGATTGCTTGAAGCGTGTTAATTCATTATTGGGATAAAGGTTAAAATTTATAGCTAATTTAGTTCATTTCATTTTATAATGAGAATACTGTTCTTTACTGATTTATGACAGGAACTGAATTGTTCCGATATTTCAATGTTTTCGTGTGAGCATAATAGTAGTTTAGGTACCTATATGCTTGCGATATTAATTACTAAACATTTAATGTGAAATTTATCTAATATTTTATGCAGTAATATACCAGTTTTGGAAACTAATTATTAATTATTCATGAATTTGAACATAACTTTCTATAATATATGTAACTATTTTCAATTGCAAATATCATTGTATTGTAGTATGTTTTAAAGAGTGCGTTCTTTTTGAGAAACTAAGCCGAAAGGTTTAAGGAAAATTATTTTACAGAATATTTCATTAATTTTTATTTTTCGAGTCTCAAACTTGATCTATTGTCAATAATAATGATATACAAATGTCCAAAAACATTAATAAGGTATACTTGAAATTTAAGAAACTATGAAGCTAATTACAATCCCATCATTATTCCAAATACAGTACCATTAGTTTGCTTTATTTTGATAATTAAATTTTAATTTTAGTTAATATTTAAGCGTAATTCTCAATTTGTCATTATATTATATATTTATTAGTAAGTTAAGTAGTAGTAATTTGCATACCATTTTATATTTTTTTAAGATACTAAAAAGTAGTAGTAAGATGGGTAATTAGAATATTTTTGTTGTATACATAGCTACGAGTACTTTCTAATCTTTATCAAAAATTGTTTTAATATTAGCCTATAATAGTTTATTTAAATGATTACAAACTATTTGATCGCTTTGCTTATCATTTTAACAAGCTATCATCAAAATAGTTTTTGGTGTAATTATATAGATTTAAAAGTTTTGAGATAAATTCAAAAACAAATTGTTTTATCTATGCAATTTTATGTGGTATATGTGTATGAATAAACAATAATTATTAGTTCAAATATTGACTGATAGTATTTATAGATTGCGGTTGGAAGTAATACTTATTTTGGTAAATGTAGGATTATGCAACAACGTATGATGAGCTCAGCTCAAAGTTTGAAGATGGCTCAAAGATTTTAAAGTAATTATATATATATATATATATATATATATATATATAATCGTTTAAATATGAAATAGTAAGGAAAGAGAACTGATCTGATAAAATGCTTGAAAATTAAATTCAACAATGGATATCAAGATTATTGATAGTCTATTCATATCGTTATTGTTCACGTGTTGAAAATATTATTTAAATTTAGAATCATACGTATATGAGTATTAATTTTATTTTTTACAAAAAAAGATTAAACAAGAAAACATATGTATATATACATATTATTTTATTATTTAACAATCAATTTGTTGAAATAAAATATTTGAAATTTAAAATTGTACAATTTTGAGAATCAACTAAAATATATTTCATCATTCAGTAGTAAAAAATTGCGCTAAACAAATAAATAAAATAATATAACTAAGATTTTAAACAAAAGTAAAATTATTACTTGAGTTAATACTTGACTTAATTAAGAATATACTTGAGTTTATTTCAAACTAATGTCCTTTTCTAACTTAAAATTGTAAAAATTTTGGATTCAAATTTTAGTTTGTTTTCAAACTACTTGTTTTTGAAATCGAATTGGAATTTATTCAACATAAAAAAGCAAGTTCCTTAAAAAATTTAACTGATATTGAGTGCAAATTCATTCAGTCGTACACTTTTGTCATAAACTTAGATCTATAGAACATAATTTCTCTGTGAGAATTCGTAACTATTAGCTCTCTGTCTATATCTTTTTCTATAACAATCAGAATTCTCGTTATCTAATCTAGTGTTTATATGAGGTACTAATATGACAGATAAAATCAAGAAGTTCTACCTGAACGAAAACATCTTCAGGAATATTTTCACACTATTGTAGTCTCACAAAATCATTCTTTGGCTGGTGACACTATGTTAGCCAAATGAAATATACTTTATATAGATTTTGCAAAGAATCTGTGGTTTAATATGGTTTAATTATAGTGAAACTTGTTAATGAAATTTTAAATTGATTTGTTTTATTGAATTGTTGTTTTTAAAGTTATAGTTTGTGTTCAATTAATTAAAAACCATGCGCAAGTTATTGAAGTTAGTGCATTAATGAGTCGGTTCAGAAGTCAATTATTCGTTTAAACTAAATTAAGGTAAATATTTCATTTACCCGTTGTTTCAATAACTACATTATTGGCTTTCAATAATAAATATTATTTTATTAATTTCAATTTTAATAAAGAAATATTATATTCTTTACAACTGTTATATAACTCCTAATATTTAAATTGTAATATATCAGATTATTTTCTAAGCTAATTATAAATTATATCTTCTGGTCCATTATGATATAATAGATATTTATTATTCCCTAAAATACTTATTAATAAAAATATGTATATAACATTATATTCTTTAATAGTAACAATTAAACCAGAACAATTATACACACATATATAGACAATAAAATAATTGGTATTATTTCGGAAATTACTAGAAATAAAATTCGTATTATTTCGGAAATATAGTCGTAAAGTTGGTATAATTTCGAAATTACTGAAACAAGTAGCAAATATGTATCTGTAATCTACTATATTGTTTAAATCTAAAGTAAAAATAGCATGAAAAATATAAAATAATGAATTGGACATGTAGAATTTTGATTGCGAAAATATATCATATGTATCTAATTTAGAACATATATAATTTATAATTAATTTAAAAATATTTCGTATTTTTTTAATCTCAATCGTTAAAATTTGAATATCCAAATAAATCCAGAAATTTGTTATCTCTTAATTTGTTTCCAATTTAAACAATATTGTATACCGTCACTTTATTATTTCAATTAATCTCATTTTTGCAATACTCTCACACTGCATATGTGGAACTTCGAACTTTTAATCAAAATATTAAAACAATAATATTAGTCCAGCATTCTAAACAGAATTTCTGATAACAATTTCGTGTTTGCTATTTAAAATATTTTCAACATTGCAGAAATACAATGCATTTGCATACATTCACAAAAACAAAATCAAGAGTATATTTCTACTTTGTATTTTGCAGAGTGATGTCTCTCCTAACAATTCAACCAGTGCTACTTAATTCCACAGACGATTATTTATTGAAAAAATTTAATGAAACACAATTATCTTTCGAGTACAATTTAGTTTGTTTGTCATGTGCATCACTTGGAATTGTGGGCGCTATATATCAGGTAATTGTAATTAATATTTAAGGGTTATGTCAGCTAATGATAATTATACTAATTTTATATTAGTATCTAACGGTAGATTTACAAATTTTTAATACTTGTTTCACAGAAAATATCACAGTTTCACGGATATTGAACAATTTTTTTAGTAGGAAGTAAAAATCTATATTATTTTTAAATTAACATATCAAAGATATATGTCATATACATTGAAATAATTATATGTGCAAAAAAACTCTCACCATCTGCAGATATGCACTAATTTTTAAATTTTAAAATTCAAAAAAAATTAAAAAAGTGTTAGTTGGAACAAAAAGTGTTGAATCATGAACAGTCAATACAATCTTTTATTCGATTCTGAAAATTTGAAAACTATTTAATACATTGCGAATCTCATTAGCTAAACGGTTTGCCTTAAATAAACATTGACAAACAATTTCGCATTAAACGGAAGAAAACTTTTTTTTTTGTTAATTTGCAATTTTCAAAGTCATTTTTAGACACCCTTCATTGTTAATCAAGTTAATTCTTTTTAGATATCGGAAACTTCATAAATTATTTCTCTAGCATAAAATACTGCTTACATCTTTTTAATAATATTTTCATTACTCTGTTCTTTGATTAAATTAATAGTATAGATGTAAATGATTTAATTTAAATAAAATGCAAATAAATGGAATCTATTGAATTACTAATTAGAAAACAAAAAAATCTGTAAAACTGCATTCCAACACTAGGTGAAATTTTCATCTATTTTTGTTGATTAAGTCGTTCATTATTGATTATTTTTTATTGACATTTTTGTTAATTAAATCGTTTATTTACATATATCAGGAAGTTTATGCATTTTATCAAAATGCTACTTCACACATAGATTTTAAATTTAACCTATCATCACTCTTTATAAAGAAATATTTATTATAATTCCTGTATAATGTAATCTACTATTAGGCGTCTAATTATTTGTTTGATATTTATAGTTATTATCTAACACAAAATTACTCATTCAATATTGTAAGTAATTTTAGTTTTTTTGAATTTAATTTTAGATTTTACCAAGAAATTATACTCAATTTAGAAGGTTTCAACTATGTAGGAGTAGACAAATTATAATATGGTTAGCAGTAGCAGATCTTATGGCAGCTTTAGGTAATCATTTGAAATATTTTTGTTTTTGTCATTAACGATCTGTTAATTTAAATAAATAAATTGTCTTTCATTTATTTATATTTTAAAGTTTCTCAAAAGTTTTTATAATGAAAAAATTTTATGTAAAGTTTTACAAATTATTTTTAAATTATATCTTAAAATAATTATTATATATGTAATTTGATTTATTATTTACTTGCAAATCTTCAATCATATTTTTGTTCATAAAGTTTTGCCAAATTAGAACTGAACTTACCTATATCCATAGATAAAAGAAAAGTATGCCTACATCCTACATCTAAATTTTCATTAACTCATTTATTTTCAGGTATTTTTGCACGATCAATCGTATATCTCTTGCTGAGCAAGCAAATAAATAATTTAGACAACAACTACTACAGTATTTTATTTTCTACAGTTTCATCGGTGAGTAGAAATTGATATATTTTTGTACCGAATTAGTTCATTTTTCCTTTACATTAGAACCCGATTTTCAACCGCTGAAAATTATGTTTCTTAGAAGAATAAACATTATTGAAATACAAGATAATTTTGGCAATCACGTAAAACATTAGAGTTTCAGTATTATAAATTTATATACATTTAAAAACATTTATCTGGGATTTAATTATATATATTTAATAAGAATTTTGATCTGGAAAATCGCATTTCATAAGAATATCTTTCATTGGTCACAATGTTCTGATTATATTATTTTCAGATTCAGATTATAAAACCTTTTTTTATTCTATATTTGAACAGCGATCAAAACTTATGGGTTCTATGAGCTGTTGTCATGATATCTTACAAACTATGTTTGTTTTTTATTATAGATGGCAACCCAAACGCATCTCTATATGCTGAATTTTCATTATTACAATTATTGTAATAGTGATGCATTTAATTGATGCAGCAATGCCGTATTAGGGCTGTTTTCACTTGAAAACATATTGCTATCTATATTTCCAAGTGAAAATCGTTGTCACTGCTTCCTGACAAAAGGCTGCTCGAAGTGGGTATCGAACCCGGGACCCCTGATCCAGGTCCAGTCGATCTAGCCACTTACCTACGAGCGAGCCCTAATTATAAAACCTAATAATAATTTTATAACATCTTAATATTGAAAATCGTATTTGTATCTTTTTATTTGCTATCTGTATATATGAGAAATTGCTAACCAGGCCATCTCCCGATTTGAAACAATCTATGATATGGTGACGGATTTTAAGTCATGTTGCCAAGCTGGAATAAACATAATATTTATATCTGCTATTCAATGGCAGCAAAAAATCTGCTCTGGCTCTAAAGTTGTTTCACGTTTTACGAAAACCCAGAGCGAGCTATGTATCTGAAAAAAGACCACATTTTAATGGCGTTAGGGTCAATTGAGGATGGTCTACTCTGGATATTACCATCTCCCCATATATTGCAAGCTAATTTCATGATTATTGTTTTTAGATCTGGGTCCAATACTTCTACACCTCGACATGGTTCTGGACGTTGGTGTACGCCCTGGATGTCAGAAGATCTTTGCGCAGTCAGCCACCAGCCGTCTTTCTTTCTCATGTTTTCTGCTGGTTGCTGCCTGCAGTGCTGACCTGCTCGTCCATGCTGACTCCGCACTACACTAATTATGAGTAAATATTTTATCAAAGTAAATAATAATACTATATATATGTATCATCATTTGGCTGATATTTCATTAAATATGTGGAAGTGGCTCCTTTTTTCAAACTCATTTCTTAGCAACTAAAGGGGGTTATATTCTTAGAGAACTAAATTTATTTTTAGCAAATAATGTCAAATAATTACCTGTGAAGCATGAAGAAGTCAGAGTAATTTTTACTTCTAATTTGCTCTACCTTTCAATTAACATTAATTGAAGACTTATATATTTTTTTGAACTGGCGAAAATATTGTTCAAGTTTAAGCATTATGTGTGACAAGGCTACAGGCGCCTTCGATAGGCAATATTAGAAATCTTTATATTTTATGAAGAATTGTCTTTGTTAAAAGAGTAAATAACTATTAGTAGTTGTCACAGTATTCAAACAAAATTTACAATCTGTAATTAACACTTTATATACATCAATGCATGCATATGGGAATGATGTGCAATGAAACATGCTTATTGCAAGATATTCATTACAAGAAATTATATACAAGCAAATACAATTATATACTTTGTGAATTATCTTATTTTTGCGGCATAATGGTTTTTTAATTACTGTTTTTAATCCCCTGAGATTAAAGATACAAAGGATTAACGTGTGATCAACTCAAACGCAAAACCTAGCCAATCTCTGCGTCATCGATTAAATCTGATAAAGAAGCTCAGATCATCTTAACTTTTAGTCATAGAAAATGTAATTTGTGTAATATCAATCAGTTCAATTTTCATGTACTATTTTAATATCTAATATTATGTTTAAAATTTCTTTTAGTTATACTGTTCGGAACGCCACAACATTTCTTGCAACTTATTTTCCAATAATGTTGATAATGCTGCTAAATCCTTTATTATATTATTTATCATCCAAGGAAGTATTTATATTACTCGTGCTGACAAACGGACAGGTAAAAAGCATTCATTAATTTGGTTTCATATTGTTTTGCACTTTTTATGCAGTTAAATTATTTTATAAATTGTTTTACTTAATATTCATACGTTAAATTGAAGTTATGTAATTTTATTTTTGCAGTTAATAAAAAAACTCATAGCATCAAAAATTTATTCAATGAACATTCATAAACTAAACTTATATAAATATTTATAAATGTTGAAGATTATGTCATATTTTGAGATTTAACCAGATTAACAATTATTATTCAAATTAAAAATTTATTATTTTTAAATATTTGTATACAGATTATTTGGATGTATTTCATGTATATTTTATTAGATAGAGTGATCAATTATACAATTCAAACAAGTATCAATTACATTGTTTTTTTTCACTCTTCATTCACACTTCTTAATTACACTTCATAATTATATTTCTTTTTCCAAAATAATTGGAGCGTAACTGTAGTGCAATTCAGTAAATAAAATCATCGAAAAAAATATTTTTTTAAATAAATTAAAACAAATTTGAGTACACAATTTTTTTGTTAATATGGCTATATAAAATATTGTTGAACTTCGTGTATTGGTAAAATCAGTAGGAACCAATAATGTAATTATATATGCTTCTCTTTAATAAGAATTTATTTAGCCAGTTTTAAATTAGCCATATACATGATTTACATATCAATGGTAATCTAAATTTATAATAATCTAAAAAAATATGTAGTTAGTATACCAGTTATGCTTACGTGTATTAAAGATATTTATCTGTAGTCAATAATGCAACCAATACTTTTATTTTGTAAAGCTCACATTTTACCCTTTATATACATTTATTCAATAATATATATTTTTTATGTAATATGTATTTACCTTTGTTGATTAATATTACCGTTTTTAATTTACAAATTGCAGGTTACGAATAAGGAGCGTCATGCAAGTAACAGCGTTTCCTTAAAATTTCTAATAATGATAATGTCATTTTACGTTTGCTGGACGCCCAATATATTTAATGGCTTTCTCATATGGTTAGGTGATTATATGGAGTTGCCTTACTTGATATATCTCATTATTTGGTATATGATGGCAGTTACCAACCCCTTGCAAGTAAGTTATTTAATGGTAGAACATGAAACAAATAACATTGTTTAGTAATTTTGATATATTGCAAGATCACGATTCGTAATAAGGACGATTTAAAATGTTAATACAAAATTAGTGAATTTGTTTGTTTGTTGATAAAATTAATATAGTAGATTAAGTAATAATCAAAACTTATAATTAACTTATAATTATAAATTACTTATTTATGTTGAAATATTATTCTATATAAGACTTGTCTATTCGTTTAGGCCGCTATAAATGCTGTTGTTTATAAGCAGAGGAGCGCCGAAGCCTCATTGTCTTTTCCTTGCTGTGCTAGCAAAGCAGATGAAGCTGTTGAAGGTAAGACCAATGCTGAATGTAAGACTAAAATATTTTTAATAAATCGCGGAATTATTTTTATTTTCTGAACACTCAATCCAAAACAATCCTGAAGTGATCAGTGCCCGCATGCCAATTTTTTTCTAGCGCCTTCACCTATATTATTTTAGGTTTTTGAACAGTTTATCATTTACGTTAATTTTTTTTAAAACAATTTTTAATAAATCTGGATTTATATTAACTCTGGATTAATTTAAATGCGCATAAAATACATTTATTTTAAATTTATTAAGAAGATCAAGGCGATTTGCAGGTGGTTATAATCAAGTAGCCTCCTATCGTTGTCGCACTACCAAGCTATTTTTAAATTTTTATGTTCAGTCCAAACATAAGTTTAGGACATCCAAAAAATTCAGTATGTTCATTATTGCTTGCAAGAATATTTTTAAATTATCATTTATTTCTATCACATGTATTATTAATGTTTGGGTGTTGAAATATTTTGCTTATTTATTTTGGGGATTTTATGCGATTTTATTTATTGAGCAAATCATAGAAAAAGAAAATTCCAGCCTCTTATTATTAAACATTACATTGGTACTTTATGTTGTATTATTTTAATTTAATTTTTTATTATTTAAAATATCTAAAATTGCATCGTACACTTCTCCTAATTGATATCGTAAGTGTATGTATTCATCAGTACTTTCCAATCGTCAGATTGTTGTTTCAACGTTAAATTTGAAAAATATTGTCCAAAGTTAATAAAAGACGCAAATAAATTATATATTTTTTGAATGATATTGAAAAAACTATGTTATAAATTTTATATCCGAATCTCGTTTTGGTGCCCTCTAAGGCGTGCGCCCGCATTTTTTGCATGCATTGCAGGTGGGACCGGCTCTGGTGGTATTTATTAGCAACGTTTCGGATCAATCATCAGACTATCTCAAAAACAAAATATGTCTCAAAAAATCATAAAGGAGTGGATTATATTCGAACTTTCCTGCGAGCCAACATACAAATATAAATCATAGTAAAAAAAACTGAAAATATTGTCCATCATTATATCTACAATACGCGATTTTTGACAGAAATATTACATGATGGAATGTTTCTAGTTCCGAATCGTTGCAAATGAATAGCACGTTCAAGGTGCACCTTCAAACACTTCTTTTTTTTTTAAATTCAGGCTGGATTGTTCAGAAAGAAACACGCACATACTTTAAATAACGAATAAATGCTTCAAAATCTCTTAAATGTAAATATACACTGAAATATCTATATCTAAATAATTATTTCAGAAGATGAAAGTACTCCGTTGCTGGGAACTGCCAGTTCTAGAGAAGTTCCATATTGGAGTGTGAATCATAGCTGTTCTTATTTGTGATATATTTTTAAGGTATTTTATTATGTTAATGTTATTATAATCGTTATTTTTTAAAATCTATATCTTTTTATTCTCTTATTTTATTTCATTATTTTATTGGCGATATTGGTAAAATTTATAAATATAATAAAAATAGTTTCTTTTGCATTCTTTAAAAAAGCAGGCTGATACAGTAAAAACACATTTGTTATATTTTTAATACAAATATAATTTTTATTTATTATTATATATATAATATCACTCTATACACAGTACCATATGCATTTTAAAAATGCAGGAATACGATCATGCTTTTAAATAATTCATTAATAAAAATATATAAATCACAAATAATAGTACATTGAATTTGATAATAGAAGTAAGTAGGTTATTATATAGTACATAAAATATAAACACGTAATATTTTTCTTTTGACTTTAACTTAAATTTCTAGACTTCTTAAAAATAGCTTAGGTTATTGAGTATTTTTGTAACCAAAAATTTGAAGGAATGGAGTAATATTTTATTTGTGTACTAATTAAATAGCCGTTGATATGAGATTCTGCAGCTTTAAGAACTTTTGTACCATACGTGCATCACTATTTCTAACAATTATTAAGTTCAACTATTTTGTGTATATGAAAAAATATGTTTTGTTGACGTGGAAACAATATAAATAAACATAATTTTACTTTAGTACTTAGAGAATATACAAGCTTAACAATATAACAATTAATTTTTCAACTTAATTTGTGAGTGTTTGAATTCGTTCAAAGAGATTTATTAATTAATAATACTGTGTATATTAAAATGTTGAAGTTGACGATAGAGATTTTTCAGAAATTTTAAACAAAATATGTCTCAAAAAATCATGAAGGAGTGGATTATATTCGAACTTTCCTGCGAGCCAACATACAAATATAAATCATAATCTTTATGATATAAATCCATAACCTGATATGGCAATCAAAACATTTTTTTAAAAACAATGCACTACTTGAATTAATATTGATTTACTAATTATTTTCCAATAATGCATATTATGTGCTGATATGCTCAATAACTTAAGGATCCGAGGATTACAAAATAATTCTAAATGTAATATATAATACGTGACTATACAGGGTGTCCCACAACTCAACTTCAAGCCGAAACAGGGTGATAATATTGATCGTAACTATCATCAAAAAATAGAAAAAAAACTCAAAATCTCATGTAGTTTAAATATTATAATTTTCAAGAGCAACCTGATTATTTTTCGGTTAATGTAGTTAATATTTATTAGTTTTGTTCATTTAAGCCTTGGGATAGTAATTGTAAATAGCATTTCTAGAACCACAGTCAAAAATAGTGGCATATTGTTTTCAAGGAACTTGCCAACACATTTCAGAACTTTTTTGAAAGTCAAAGTCGACTTACTTAAAAAATTATAAATTCATAGTTTACAAAAAATCTTATTGTTTATTATTGACTGTGGTCCTAGAATTATTTTTAACTATTACGAATCCAAAGCTTCAAGCTATTATGAACGAAGTTAATAATATATAACCACAATACCAAAAAAAAAGGTCATATTTACATCAAAGCTCTAGGCTGCATTTAAAAGCTCATGATATTCAAACTATGTGATTTTTTTTTAAATTTTTGTTATGATAGTTATGACTAACATCGACCTGTTTGGGCTTGACATTGAGTTCTGGGACACCCTGTATAATAATAACAATAATTTTAATTTTAGAGAATAGAAGTTGCCTCATCAGGTTATGATATACAATTTTTAGCAGAATGAAAATAGCAACGACAAGTTAACATTATTTTCAAAAACATTATTATTTTAATTATTACTATTTGAACGAAAAACTCATAACTTGTCGTCCTAAGATAAACATGTCTAATCACATTAATAACAATATATTATTTCATAAACATAAATCAATAGTTTTCAAATACATGACAAATCACTAACCAAAAATACTTTCTCTATGACTATCTTCAAATTATTATATAAACCACATAAACGTCAAAAGCAAAATTGCAAACATTGAATAAATAACTAGATAATTTTAACATTAGAATTTGGAGTGAGATCATGCTATGGAATATTTCAGAAGATAAATTCATAGCCTGACTGCATAAAATTCTTAAATAACAACAAAGAAAATTTAGAATCAGAAAACAAATTATTATAAAATTTAATTATATAAGCAAAATGAATTTATAATATTCATTCCTCACTAATTTAGAACTATTTTTCAAATAATTCTTCTCAAATGTATACATTCAACAGCATTTCAGGCCTAGAAATAAAGTATATCATATTTTTCACACTTATTTGTTCTTAAAGAAAACTATTCTTTTTTCACTTAAACCTAATTTGTTAACATTTATAACAACACTATAATACACAAACCCACTTGAATAGATTACAAAATCAACTAGGATCATCATTAAATTCATGGTTTAATGTTAAACTCGTGATGTCTTTCACAATCATTTCTGCCACTTGCCAAGCTATTTCTTCCTTAGTAACATCTTTTTGTTCACAAATCGCTTCATAGCTTTTGATAACCGCCAATTGCTCTTTGATTCAGGTTCCCGTTCCAAATCACTTTGAAACCGTCCTAAATTATTCACATGGCCAAATTTAAGGCCACATTGCTTTCTGCGCCAAAGTGAATCCGGGTCGGTCATGCTTCTGGTTTCAATACTCATATCAAATTTATCTTTGGATTTGTTTTTACAATTTTTGTGCACAGTGGAGTTTGTTACACTTATTTCACTACTGGCATCAGAGCCACTCTTTCTGTGGCCAAACTTTGGCCATGGATTTGTATTTATAGAATTTATTAGTTCATTTAGATATTTGAAAAACAATTGCGACATTAGAAATGGTTTTAAGTAATTTTTTTCTAAGTAATTCTGTACAATTTTTAAAGGTAAATCAAAGCATGTAATTGCAGGTCCTTCTTCTCGACAGATATTTTGTTCAACATGAAATCGAACTTTATCTCCCAAATTTAAAGGGTTTAGAGCTTGCAAAGAGAAATATTTATCATACAATGTCATGGCATCACTTTGCATTTGTTCATTATCATAATGAGCAGTTTGCCTAAAATTAACTGCCGATAACCAAAATTCTATAAAATCACGATTCACTGGAGATTCTTGTTCTAAATATTCCATAAAATGAAACAAAGCTGTTTCATTGAATAATATATCTTCTAAAATCACATTACCTGATGTCAGTACATCTATTTGATGTTTTGTGTTAAAATCACTTCTCAAAAAGTGTGTAAAATAATTATTTTCTATTTGCATAAATACAAGTTCTTGTGCAGGTGTGAACATCTCTGGTTCAATAGTATTACTTTGTATTTTATTTAATACTTCACTACGAATAGTATCTGGTAACTTTATATGATAAGGAGCATTTTCACAAATATACTTTTTTGATATTCTCATAGCATCTTGATGAATGCTAGAATAGAAATCTTTTCGTTTCTTAAGACTATTCATAGATATTGTACGTGTCAGCTGATTGTCTTCAAAATCCTGAGGTACGGAATATGTGCGCTTGATTTCCAATTTCATGCAATCAAATCCATTAGCGCACTCCTTATGAGCACCACGACCAGTTTGAAACACATCCGCTTGCAAAGAATGTACTGAACCCAATATTTTATTTGAGGATGTAAACTCATTTTCAGATTCTATGGTTTTATAAGTAGATTTATTATCATTTTCCGATTCTCCTGTAAGATACAAAGAATCACAATCCGTGCTAGCTGAAACATTATCATCCTCAACCTTTGAAATATCAGATTGACAAGATAATGTCCTGCGTTTTCTGTTACCATTCTTTAAGAAGCACTGCTCACTTTTATAATCTACAGGTTTACTACAATTGTTTTCTACAGCTTTTATTGATATGGAATCAAAAACATCATCGAAGTGGTCTATAGGTGAATTTAAATCTGCTGACATACTGCTCATTATGGAACGATCTTCAGGTGATAAAAGCATTCCATCATTCTCATCAGTACAGGTGGCTGCGGATCGAAAACTTTCCACATCCAACCAAAATTTAATTAATGCTACTACTGACTTGGAATCCATAAACTGAATAAAGTAGCCAAGTGCATCTTTGTCAATAAGCACTTCACGAAGAGTTTTAGAGAGACGGGATCTGGGTTTATAAGGCCCATCTGCAATAATACATAGTATCAAGAGAAGGTATGATAATGAACTGTAGGCAATGAATACAATCAAATTAATAATTTTGGTAATTGACTCATTCGAATTAGTTTAATTGTATGTGTGAATAATGATGATATATTTTGCAAATTATGTATTTGTTGGCTTTTAATACTAAACCATTCATTGTTGAAAGATCTGCTAGATGAGAACCTCTTCAACAATCAATTATTCTCTCATACACAAATTATTATGTTGCTAGTAACAAAACACATAAGTTATCACATAAGAAGAATCCCATTCATTATGTTAAAACAGTACTAAGACATAATTTTGTATATGATTGACTTAAATTTAAATTTTGTTCATATAGAAAAAACAATATCTAAACAGGTTACTGAGATATATAATTTTAATAATAATAATAATTTACTCACTCTGTTCATCAATTTCAACAATGTCATCGCCTAATTTTGCATTTCGCCGTGTAGGTAGCTGACCATTTTTGGCGATCCCTTTGTTAAACTTTGTTTTCGTTTTTGTTTATGATCTATAAAAGATTTAGTATTAACAAAAATAATATGTTTATCTTCATTTTTCAATGAGTACGTGTAAATGAATGATGATTGTGGGTGAAAATAAAATTGAGGTAATTAGGTTAAACAACTTTTACTATTTTACGGTGAATGATTCGACAATATGAATTCATTAATTAGAAATAATACAAACCGGATTTCTTCCAAAATTGAAGCATCGTTCATAATTATCTTGTCATTATTATAAGTTTGACCATAACAAAAATGTCAACAAACGTCAAAACTAAATTTGACACGCAATTCCTGCTTCGCACTGTTTCATGTATTTGTATGTGTATATAAACCTTTATATCAGCTTTGATAGCAAATGTTGAGAAACTGCTAATTTGACAGCTGACAAAAACCCCAACCAGGGTACCAACATACAAATATGATGTTACAAAGAAAAC